GCAGCAGAACCGTTGCATCAGTGGGTTTAAAGGATACAAACAGCTGGATGTCATCTGCATACATGCAGAAAATGTCCAACTAGTAAAGGCTGGTGAAAGAGACCAGACAGAGACCAGGGCTATCATTGGATTTAGGTGAAGGATGCTATCCAGACACATAAGCTCCTGAATGTTATTGACGCCGCCCTTTTTTGTTCGTGTATTTCCAACCTTGAGAACTGTAGTATCATGGACGGCCAAAAGGAGGCGGGTATCCGTGCTAGCGTGATGTATAAAAAGCTCGGCCCGTTATCGGCATGGATAGGCTTCGGAGGGCTAGTGGAAATGTGGCATAAGGAGGAGTTGTTGCTACGAGTCATGGACTCCTAACCTTCGTCTGGGTTTCCTCAGAAAGAAAACCTTTTACCCTGATTGCTCTATTTGAACAGACATGATCAGGCGTAGACCTAGAGCAGAGGGATCAGAATCGGCTGTGTTTGATGCTCTGTGGACAGAACCCAGAAGTTCTGTTCAACCTGTCGTCTGTTTTTCTCAGTGTTCTTTATTCCCTTGTTTAAAGGTAGCTAAGCACAGACAGGAAGGAGGATGGTTACCAGGAAGCCTGTCAGCTGTGTCGTAGCTGCTGCTCTCTGGAGGCCTCTCGGCGGGCGGGGGCGGCTCAGTCCGGTGTGTCGCAGCAGCAGCTGTGGCTCTCCTCTGCCACAGCTCTGGGTTGCTGTAAGCCTCCTCGTTCAGCTTGTGCATCTGGTTGAGGTCAGCTAGGCGGATGGAAACCACCACCATGATCAATGAGAGTCCCTGATTTTTGGATGAAAAAACAAAAAGACCAGAACCTACCGATGAGATTCCCCCTGCTGTCCCTCAGCGGGGCTCCGCCTCCCCCCCTTCCCCAGGGGTCATGGTCCTTCATCTCAGCCTCCAGCTGGGCCTCCAGGTGCTCCCTCTCCTCCCGCTCCCGACGCCGGCGCTCCTGCTGCTCCTGGATCTACGACAGAGCACGGTTTAGTAACACAAGGTGACAAAGGATGGCTTCCTGTCAGCTGACTATAGAAATGAGGTCTGCATGTGGGGAAAAGGCCCGAGTGGCTGAAATAATCTGAGTTTGGCTTCATCCTTAAAACCCGCCACACCTAAACAAATCTCTCCAGCTCTGCCACAGAAACGCCTGGAAGTTCACATCACATAAAGAAAGGCTCATTTTGTACCAGATGGTGTGAGAGTGGGCGGGACTTCCAGGACCACACGCCTCACCCAGAATCCAGGGAACAATCCTCTGCAGGTTGTAGCAGAAGTAGAGACAAACTGATATGGTATCAATATCAGTAAAGATGGGGAAAGAAGCGCGCAAATAACAGCACTGAAGCAGGAGAGCACAGGCAGTGGAGAAAAGTTTACCAGAGTCGAGCGTGCAGCAGGCTCGTATAGAGGGAAGGGGAAAGAGTTTTAACACTACACATCTGTGTCACTATGCACAGGTCATTGGCATAAAATGCCATAGAATCCAAACATCCCAATCAGGATTCTGAATATGAGAAGAATGTGACACGGAGAGGAAACTGAAACCTAATGTGCCCACTTGGTACTTTTGTTAATCCATAATTCACAATACCTTGAGTTTAAAATTATTATTAACCAAAAATGTTTATTCAATTTCGGCAAAGAATTTTCCTCTCGATGCATCCGTAATGTTTTTAAGAAATGTACCTCCTTAATCACACATATCTGCAATAGGCGCCATGAAGACGTGAACCCAGCACCCTACAGACATCCAGACAGACTCAGCCTTAGTGTTTGGACGCAGCTGAACACATGCGCTGCCGCCCCTCCAGCAGACAGAGAGAGCAACCTTTGAAGGCAGGGGTGGAATGTCCTGGTTCAGAAGGCTTCCTAAACAGTATGTCTAATGAACTGATTTTTCTGAGGCGTCTCTATTTTTTTAAAGAGACATGTCTCCTAACATTTGCATAAGCATCTGTAGTAGCTGCTGGGTAATATTAACTGAGAGCTGCTGTGCGTTTCTCCTCCAACCACGTAGCTACTTTGTACGCAGTGAAATGCAACAGCAAATCAGATGTCTCAAA